AAGTAAATTTTTTACCTCAAGGCGTTCGAGCATTGGAGCTTTAGAATGAATTAGTCTTTGTCTGTTTAGTCAAGATCGAACAGTCACTGTTCCAAAGTCTCGCCGCCCACAAGAAAGAGTCAACATTCTGACACTCCGTGAACATATTTTCGGTGCATATGAAATCGTAGTAATATCCTTATTATTAGTCATTACCGACTTAGTAATTTTGGCACTCGAAGTGGACCAACTGGTATTACAAAATGGTTTCGGTCTTGAAAAGACAGTTAATTTTGTTGAATAGATTAGATTAGATTAGATTTATTTATTCATTTTTTCTTACAATGTTACATAACAGCTTAAAGTAAAGACCAATTAGATTGACTTGTAAGAAAAAAGGTAAAGCATTCTGTAAAATGGATATAATAGTGTCGAATGCTATTTTCAAAAATAAAATCCAATATAATATACATATATAAAGTGTGTGGGGTGAAAAAGGTGCTATGAAATTACAATTTCAATATTCAATAAAACAAATTTTAGACTTAAGGTTCATTAAATACTAGGTCTCAGCAAAATCTTGATATCATTATGTGATAACTCTAAAAGATAAGATTTAACACTTTTCAAAAATTTAGGCAAATTTCTGGCTTCCTACAAGACCCTTTCTTTTAATGCAATTGTCTATTGATTCATTGAAACACATCTGTACATATACATATATATAACAGATGTATAAAAATGCATATACATATATATACATATGCATGCATCTGTGTACCCTTTTTTTTGTTGTTCCCTTGTACGTAAGCATATTTTACGCCTTGTTTACCAAGTAGTGCATGTCATGGTGCGCATCAGGCGAGGTCAAGGCTTTTTTTGTATGTGCTTTTTTTGGGCATACATTTATACATATTTTACAACCCACTCATTTCCTTTTGCTTTATCACTTGTATGTGTAAATGTGTGTGTATGTATGTACGTGTGCTTTTTATTACATTCACCGTCTAGCAAGAGACAAACGGAAGTTATACTAAAAAGCGCAAAATGGAAGACATTTAAGCTATGGTAGTAGAATAGAAACCTAAAAATGAACGCAAGGACATTGATTTCGGGTTGTCATGGTATGAGCAAAATTTAATAACGTTGTAAGCTTATTTAAAACAATTCAATGCTAATGCATATGTCGCAGCGGTGTTGCGAAAATTTGCATCGCATTTGTTATGCGAATGATTCGCATCATTTTATACATTCGCATCGACATTCGGATTCGCATCAAATGATACGAACATTTTGCGAATGCGAATATATACATGTGGCGTAACGCACATACATACATAAACAAATAGGTTATACTATGTTCACATTGCAGCATAAATTACTTTGTTTCGATCGAATAGCTTCACATGAATGAAGTGCGTTCAGACTTGCTTTCATGATTTCTATATACATTTAATTTGGAATGTGTACGTATGTACGTATATTGGACTACTGTCACCTCATGGCTATGCATGCTTTGAAACACACAAATTCATATGTCAGCTTCATGATTTACTTTCTAGTGCCAGTTGCGTAGCTTTCCTTACAGCCATGCCTAAACAAAAGCGTCAGCGTTGGCTGGCTGCCAAAAATTTCTCATGCTCATAAAATTTGTATGAAGCATACCGAAATAACGCGGCGTCAACCCTTAACGGTTAGAAAATTTTTGCCGATTTTGACAGGGCGTTTGGAAGTGATTTTGGCTGCAGAAAATGGCGAGACTGTCATTTTCGTAGTTTACACAAACAAACCTATGCTTATTGTTGGTGTTATTTCTTCATTTGACGTAGCGTTGCCGCTTTTTTTAGATATGGCCCCACGTCATCGTCCTCTACGAAGTTGATGCTACAGAACTGAGATTTTTTTCTTTTCGTGAGCACAATTAGATCCGAATCGCAGTTTCCCGCAATATCACATCTCTACCTTTAAAACACCACTGTGATCTGGAAGACTTAATATAAGTTAAATAGACAGTTCCTTGCAAAATACCCCTCAAGCTTATAAACATCGGTACGAAAGTAAGCCTGTGCCTCCTTCCCACCACTGCCTCCTCTAACCTCATTCCTAAAAGGGATTTTAATAGAGAAAGAGCTAATTGATTCCTGTATAGCCACATAGATATGTAGTATGCTTAATTAATCTAAAAAAAAATTAAGGCGTCGAGATTGTTCTGTTGCAACAAATCAAATCGTCGGGGAACGCACACGATTAATTGGAATACGAAAACGAATTTGGAGACAAACAAGAATATGACGACGAATACGAATTCGAAGAAGAGGACGAATCAGTGTTGCCACTTGAAAGTATTATTAGGTACCAAAACGCCTACCAAATCAGTTTGCAAACTACCAAACTTTGCTTCCTCATTAAAGCTAGATTTCTTGAATTTACGGGATTTTCAGCACAAATTAACAGCCAAAATAAAAACTATACATATTATTGTTTACAGTATTAGTTAACAATTCATACAAATTTTAATGTTAAACAAAACAAATTCGTGCCTTTAAATAAAAGAATTTACTTATTCCATAAAAATATTTTGCAAAACATGTAAATATCTTTGAGATTAATTTGATTTATTCAAACATTTTTTTTTTTGTGCGTGAAAAAACAAAATCAGACATTTTATGCAGTTCAATCAAAAAATTCCCAAATTCTTTTCAATTTGCATACACTCGCACTTTGTTACCAATACACCCACACATTGCAAATTGCCTATCATCAATTTTTTTTTCAAGACGATAAGTAATTTCTCGTTCTATTTCAACAGCTGATCGATCATAGCTTTGGGAAGTTAGTTTTTGTTTGCAGAAAATTGTCTGCTTAATAAAATATAGAAAAAACAAAGAAATCGTTGCAGAAATCGTTGCAGAAATCGTGCGAACAAAGTGAAAGCAATGTTTTGAACGTGTAAACATAAATTAAGCGAACAAATTTTAGTGCTCAATTCGGTTGTATTTTCAAAACATTTTTGCCTACCAAAAGGTTCATCAAACCAACCAAGCTACCAAAGGAGAATGAACCAATTGGACCAAAACGGCAACGCTGGGACGAATACGAACAAGAAGACGAAAAAAATGACTAAAGCGAAGGGAAATACGAATATGAAGAAAGGAATTCGAAAATGAAAATGAAAACGAAATCGAAAACGACGACGAAGTCGAAAATGAGTACGAAGAAGAATATGACGACGCATACGAAGTGGAATAGGAATACTAATTCGAAAACGAATACTACAACGATGACGAAGGTGAATGCGTAGACTAATACGAAATCGAATACGGTTATGTACATAAAAATCACCGACAAAGACGAAGACAGAAAGTCCTTCGGAGCTTTTAAAAAAAAACTAGAAAAGCGCCGAATGTCGACAGTAACTGGTACTCCTAGTTTCATTAACAACAGTTTTCGAGTGATTTGAGGTGTGCACTAGCACTCGGTAAGTCCAGGGCTCGATCAACATCAAAAAAATTAAAAAAAAAAAACTTCTCAATAAACCCGTTTGCAGTTCGAAGGCGGGCTAGGTCCCTCCCCTTTATGTGACAACAACAAGGCGCACACCACAAATCGGAGGAGAAGCTTTTCCAAGCACTAGCAGATGTAGATGCCAAATATTTAATTATTTATCTTGTGAACATTTAGCTGCCAACTGTTTAAAGTCACATTTGTGTCAATTCTGTCATACTGTGACACAAGAAACAATAAAAAAATAATTTCATTGTTTTAATAAAATATTTGATTACTCTATCTAAAATTAACTCAAAGTTTTTCCATATAAAATTTGTCAAATATTTAATTCGAACAGCGTCACTAAAAGCTAACTATGTATGTATATTCGTACATCGTATTGTTTATTAAACATATGTATCTCACTCTCTCGTCATTAAAATGCTTCACAAATACATTAGTATATAAGTATTTATGTACCATATTTATTACAATCATTTTTTTCAAAGCTTATCAAGGCGCGTCTTATAAGCAGCCGCACACATTTACGTCGGCACATATACATACATATATTTGGGGTGTTCCATACCAAAACGGACTCGGTTCACACTTCATGTGTTTGATTTGTTTCAAATTTTTAGGGTTGATGCATAAACATAAATAATAAATAAATATGAAATTGAGCTTGAAAAAATTAAAAAAAAAAAATAAAATTACTCATACACACGTCAACGTTCTCTATGAAAAGAAATATTTAAACAAATTTTTTTTTCTTGAAAAAAACGGTTTTTGAAAATACATATGAAATTTTTAAAAAGTCACAATGGTAGCTCTGAGTATTGCGCAGTTTTTAAATATAGTTTTATGGTGAGCACTCTACAATAATTTGAGTTTTAATTTTTTTACACCGAAGTTGAGTAAAATGCGTACATTGCAAATTTACACATTTTTTTATTTTTTTTTTAGAATTTTTTTGAGTATGCAGTTTTGTAGCCTATTAAATTTTAGTGCCTATTGAAATAAAGTGCAAGTTTAAGCGGTTGCAGAACCGGTGTTTTTTTTTAATTTTCTTTGAAAACGGTTTTGCGCATTTTCTTCCATAAGAAAAAAGTGCAAAAAGCTGTCAGCATAAAAAATATTAAAAATCAACGCAATTTTGCTGTAGCTTAAAACTTGCACTTTATGAAACTAAAATTTAATGGGCTACAAAGCTGCGTAGTCATTTTAGAAATTTGTAAATTTGTAATGTACTCATTATACTTAACTTCGGTGTAAAAAAATTCATAGCTCACATTATACACAATACNAAAATTTATTTTTCCTAATTTTTTTTATCAAATAATTTGTATGTGAATATTTTTTCAAGAAAAAAAATGTTGCTTTTCATAGAGAATTTTGATGTGTTTATGTGTGATTTTTTTCAAAATTTTTCCTCGCCCCGTTCTCGAGATATTGGGAAAACTATTAATCTATTTGTATTTTTTATGTATTAATTAAGCTCAAATTTTATATTCAATTATTATTTATGTTAATGCATCAACCCTAAAAGTTTGAGATAAATCAAACAGGTGAAATGTGAACCCCGTCCGTTTTGGTATGGAACGCCCCATATACATACATATATATGTGTTTATGTGCTGAGCGTAAACTTTGAACACCGATTTATTTATAGAAATTTTCAGCTTTATTTACAATCAATATTTCTCTGCTGCCCTACGCTTTGCTCTCCCTTTGTCATTTTGCCTTTAATAGATGGCACACTTGAATTCCGGATCCATGGGCGCATCCTGACTACACCTGAATACCCACGAGAATTCTTGGAAATTCGAAAGCGCTCCTATTACGCGATAAATGCTGGGTACATACGAATCGGAAGCTGCCACGGCTGTACGGAAAAAGGACTGTACATCGTCGCACCATAGCTGCGCAAAGCCGATAAAGAATAATTGTTGATTGTCGAAGTGCAACTGTGCAAATGTTTCACGACTTTCAATGTCTGTTGCATTGGCGGCACGCTGTGCACTCAGCCAACGTTGGTAAGCTTCATAAGCCAATTTTACACCTGCATTATCGGCGATATTCTCTGCTTGTGACACATCGTTGGGTAGCTGCTCTCCGCCATACCGATAGTTGTGGTACTGCGCCTGAAAGCATTTGCGTCGCTCCTCGAATTGATATGTGGACTTCTCATCCCACCAGCCGTGCAAGTTGCCTGCCTTGTCATAGTTGCGGCCGTCGTCATCGAAGCCATGCACCATTTCGTGCGCAATCAAATAGCCGAGTGTGGCGTACTTGAGTGCTTGTGGGTATTGCGGGCCCCAGAAGTGGCGTGGCTGTAGCAGTGCAACGGGAATTTTAATGCTATTCTCAAGTATATTGTAGGCGGGTGTAAACGAAAGCACTTCCGGCGCTTCCAGCGGCATGACAGGGCCACGCAGACGCTGTAATTTCTTACCACTCTCCATTTGCAATATTTGCTGCACATTCTCGACGTAGTTGTTGCGTGTGACTTGTAGGCTTGCATATTCAGCGGTGAAATTCTCCGACTCATAGGAGTTGATATACAAACGCATGGCATCCAACTTTTCGAGCGCATACTCGCGTGTTGAATTCGCAATCCAATCGAGTTTATTGCCATGCAGCTCTGTGCGGAAAGTCTCACGCACCTCTTCCCACACATCCAAAACCTCCCTCTCCACACGCGGATCCTTATAGCGTTGATATACCATGTAATCCACATACTTTCCAAAATATTTCTTGGTGCGCTCTATGCACCACTTGCCGACGTTTCCCTTCTCCAAATCGACTAGGTACTCTTGCAGCATTTGCCAAATAATATAATTCGCAATCACATGTTTTGGAGTCTCCGCTATGACTTGAATTATGCTGACGAAGTATTTTTCATCATAAACGTAAACGCTATCTGGCACTTGATCAACACCCAGCGCCAATTCCAAAAACCTCTGCAAGTCCAAGCTTTCATTGTAGATTTCCCGCAGCTTCTCGACGGGTTTAAGTGCCAGCAAATCGTGCAGCGTGAGCCCTGCACGCGAGTCAGAGCCACCATGTACCAGGGCACGCTCGAACTTAATCATTTCCTTGGCTACTGCCTTTGCTTTTGCTTCTTCCACGCCAAAGAAACGCTTCATATGCTCCACTGTGGTTAATTCCTGCAGCACGCTGAAAATTTTCGTATTACTGCTAATCGAGAAATCCGGTGGCCCAATATAAACTTTATTCCCTGTATTATTGGCTATATCTGCCATTATGTCCACAGCGAGTATGATTTGCTTGCCATATTTGTGCTGTATGTTCGCCACAGTTTCCCACCAATTGAACTCCTCCTCCTTCCAATCCTCCCCATCCAGCAGCGGTAACTTGCCAAACTCTTGGTAAGCATGTTGAAGTGACACTCTATAACGCACATCATCCTTCTTCACCAACTCACAGGCGTGGTAGAAATTCTTCACCTTTGCCTCCAGCACATTGTCATCGCGCGGTTCATTGAGTATCTGCTCGAGGCGGCGATCGAAAGCAGCTGCGATCAATTGGAAGCGATCGGTCATTATGTGATTGAGCAGCTGGGCGGGGTTGTGGCGGTGCCAGTTGCCGCAAGCGTATTGATAAAAGTCTACACATGGATTTACTTTTGTGTTGAGCATTACATGAATTTCTGCGGCCTTAGCTTGGCGAGAAATCTGCTTGGCCCATTCTGTATTCAAATCATCTTTCGCCGCGACTATTGTATTTTCCATGGGCGCAGCATCGGCGCTGAATTGTTGTTGTAAAAATAATAATATTGCAAACGTAATGAGACACATAGTTTTTGTGTTGTTTCAAAATAAAGGTTTTCTTCTGAGTGGCTGCATTCAACCAACAGCTGTGTATGCTGAAACGAGACTGAGGCCATCCATTGCGAGCTGCCAAGCTTAGAGCCATGATGGAGCATGGTGTGCAAATTTGTGTCTTATCTCGCTGTGTGAAGATAGTTTGCTGGCAGGTCACTCAGTTATCGCTGGAGGAGCTTATGGGCGGTGCGTAATCGTGCAGGCTCACAAGCAGCTGCGAGAAGAGGATTGCATGGAACTGTATTGAGTGCTATTGTCAATGAGGTGTTTGTAGTGGATGTATATGGAGGGAAGAAGCGAAGAGTGTTTGTGAAATTATGCTAGTACCGATTTTTTCGCCATTATGCTGATTAGTTTCCATTGTTTTCGCTTTATTTAAAAGAAAAAACACAAACATACGTATACATTAGGGTGGCCCAAAATAAGTAAAGTGTGAATTTTTATGCTCTCACCGCCATGGGATTGTTCTATACCGAAAAAATATACCACAATTTTTTTTCCACATGCAATTTTGAACCACGCTAGTATACATACATACATATGTGCATTAGACCGCACCACCTTTCGAGCACTCAAAAAAAGTTCGCCATGCACCTTTGAGTCTAAAGTATTTTTTCAAGGCAATTTCGAAGGATTTTTTTGCCGAGGAGTTGCCTTTTTACATTTTGCTTTGAAACCTACATTCGAGCACACTTATGCANAGGAGTTGCCTTTTTACATTTTGCTTTGAAACCTACATTCGAGCACACTTGTGCACAGGGTATTATACATACATATGTATATGTATGTATATAAGACAATGCTCAAAATGAATAGAGAAGCCGATTAAGCCATGTCTGTCCTTCAATCTGTCCGTATACACCAGTTATTCCCAAAGTGGTCCAGGTGGACCCCCAGGGGTCCATGGGAGACTCGATAGACCCCCATCGAAAAAATATGCGGTTCACAAGTTGTAAATGGGGTTCCACGAAAATTTTATCTTATTTCGATAGTAAAAAACAAAACTGTTGTCTTGTAGGCAGGTAATACTAAAAAATTAAGGGTGCAAAGAAATCAAAATTTTTCGGCGATTTCGGCCGTACAGTCGGCTAATCGAGCCTGAAACTGAAACTCAATTCATACGTACATTTAATTTACAATTTTAAAAGTAAAAGAAAATTTAATAACAAAAAATAAAATAAATTTTTAAAAGTTTATTAAATTAAATTAAAAAAAAATCATGTTAAAAACAATAAAACCTAAAAACTTTAAGAAAATTAAACTAAAAAAGAAAAAATAAATAGAATAAAAAATAAAATGAATTCCCAAAAATTATATAAATGCATTTAAAAAAACTATTTTTCGTTTTAAAACAATAAAATCTGAAAATCTGAAGAAAATCTAATTAAAATAAATAGAACTAAGTAAGTTTCTAAAAATTTAATTAATTTAAAATTAAATACTCTCCTACTTAAAAACAAATCTAAAAATTAAAACAAAATTAAATTTACAAATAAAAGCAAATTTAATTTAAAAAAATAAACAAATACTTAAAATAAGTTTTCAAAAATTAAAATAAATTAAAAAATTATATACTTCTTTTAAAAAAATAAAGTCTAAAAATTAATAGGAAAGTAAATTAAAAAAAAAAA